AAAGAAAAAAAAAAGAAAGAAAAAAAGGAAGAAAAAGAAATTTCCTATAGTTCTTGGAAAATTCCAGCAAGAAAATTCTTCCTGATTTTGCACAGTGGTAAAACTTTCAGAAGTTTTTCCTGCGCTCGCTCTCTCCCTCTCTCTCTCCTGATTTCCTGCCATCAAGGTAATATAGGGTAAGAGAGAGAGGGCCGGGTCTACTCTCAGACTCCAGAGTTTCAGTCCTGGCTCTGCTATGTATCAGCTGTGTGACCTTGGGCGGATCTCTTTCCCTTTCTGAGCTTTAGTCTCTTCCTCTGTAAAGAGAGGAGTTGGCCTAGAATCAGAGGTTCTTAACATGGGGTCTGTGAATTTAAAAAAAAGAATATTTTGAAAATGATTTCAACAGAGTTGGTGTCTGTGGTCTTCTGCTACAAGCAGGATTCTGAGCGGTGTCTTGAGGTTTCACCAGCCTGACTGCCTGGGAGCTGGGATGTCGTTAAAGGGAGGAAGGGGAGGAAGGCCCAGCTACCCATGCCAGGGGTCCCCTCCAGCTCCTGTGACTCTGTAGGCCTTGGATCATAACAACGACAGCTAGGGCAGCAGTGCTCATTTACATTGCACAATGTGCTTTAGGGCAGACAAAGCACTTTCCATATATTGTCTGGCTTGAGTCTCTCAAGAGCCCTTTGAGGTAGGCACTCCTATTGTTCCCATTTCACAGCTGAGAAAACAGTCACAGAGGTGGCTTGGCTTGCCCAGGATCTCACAGCTAATATATGTCAGAGGCTGTGCATGAATCGGTCGGCCAATCACTATAGAAGGGTCATCTAGACCAGTCCTGCTATGTTCCAGATCCACAAGCATATATTAAGTGCCTACTGTGTGCCAGGTATCATGCAAAGACAAACCTGGTCCTCTTCTGGGCTGTGTGGCTGTAACAGTATCCTGGAACTTAGATTTAAGAATGACTTTCCTTCTGTTCAGTCTACTGGGCTGACTTGGAAAATGGAAGCCAGTTGAATAGTGGATGCAGGAGGGCATGGAAAGGGGGAGCCATGCTCTGGGCCGTCCTCTTTGAGTGCTCCCCTCCTGGGCAGACCTCACCTGGATGTCTGGTTTGGCTTTGCAGAGACCTGGCCACGGAGGGATAGCGTTCATTTCTGATTCCTTCAAAGGCACTTGAATTCCTCACCGTTTTCTGATGGTGGCTGGGATGGTAATTGTGGCACCATCCATCAACAGGGGATCTGGAGCTTGTTGGGCATTTGTGGTACAAAGAGACATGGCTGGGGCTGGGCCTCCTCCAGCACCCTCTGTTTTCTCCAGCCCTTGAGTTCCCTCTGGCTATACCAGAATCTTGTGATAGAGATCCCACCCGCTGGAGTTGGTGGCTGGGCCGCTGACTTGCTGGGTGACCTTGGGAAAGTCACTCCTGTCCCCTGGGTCTCTATTCCCTCTCATGTGACATGAAGGGGTTATTCTAGTTCTGGCCCATTGTTGGGAAGCCCCCTTTTAGCTTCACCCCAGGTCTCTGGTTTTCCAAGGTGGTTTGTTGCTACTTTGAAACTTTCTATCTTGTGACTATTCCCTTCATTGCCAGGGCCAGTTTCTGACCCTCAAAGGATGCTCTGCAAACAACCAAGGCTCAGAGGGCTGAGGGGAGCATAACTTCCTTGGGCTCCCCAGAGGATGGTGGGGGCACTACTGGCTCTGGAACTCAGTGAGGGGCCTGGGATGTGGTAAGATGGCTGCCAGGACTCCCACAATCCCATGAGCTTCCTCAAGTGTACTGAACAGAGTTGGCCAGTGGGAAGCAGACCCTAGTCAGCATATAATGCCCTGTCCTGCCACCAGGGGCCATCACACAGGCCTCCAGGATGCTCCCTCCTTGGCTCTACATACTGAAATCCTTCTCTTCCTATCGGCGCATCATGGGCACATCCCTAATTCCCATCCAGCTGACCGTTACCGATCCTTTTCCACAACCCCCTGTGTCTCAGTGCTACCTCCTCCTGCCAGGGTCCCAGAATCATTGTTAGCAGATTGAACTAGAAGGGACCTCAGAGCTGCTAGGCCAGCCCCTCATGTTACAGATGAAGAATCTGAGTGACTGGCCGTAGGTCACCCTGGGAATAAGGATCAGAGGTAGGGTCTGAACCCAGGTCTTCCGATTCCAGAGCCATTGACCTGCCTTGATTGGCAGCTTCTTGAGTGAAGGAGGCGGGTCTTCCTATTCCCGTTTATCTCTACCATGGACTGCAGAACTCCGGACAGGGCAGAGGCCCAACCAGTGACCGTGGCTTTGGATTAAATGGAATCCACGTGGGCCTGGAAATATGATTTCAAACAGATCTTGGATCTTGGGATATCAGAGCTGGGGGGGCCTTAAGAGACTGTCTAGAGCAACATCTTCATTTTCCAAGCAAGGAAACAGGAGTGGAGAGTGTGTGTGTAAAAGGGGCTTGTCTCTGTCTCCAAAGAGAAAGAATCTCTACATTTTGAGAAGTCAATCACCTTTCATTATTTTTCATAGATGAATCTACCTCCCCCAAGATAGATTCCTTTGGGGACTTTACAAATGGTGCCTATGGGTATTGGCAGTAACACACGGCCTAGCCTAGGACCCCCAAAGTGGAGGTGCAACCCACTGCTCTCTACTAAGAGTTTACATCTTCAAATTCAGCTGGTCAAGACTTCACAGGATGGCTGAGGGCTAGAACTGGGAGGACCCTTAGAAATGGCCTAACCTGTAAGACCTCCCCATTTTTGTGAGAATGAGGTTGAGGCCCATGGAGGGACAGTGACTTGGCCAAGGTCATATGGCAGTGATGGAGTTGGGATTTGAATTTGGAGCCACTATCCCAGACTTCTGTCATGATGGACTTCATTTCTCTCTCTCTCTCTCTCTCTCTCTCTCTCTCTCTCTCTCTCTCTCTTCCTTACACACACACAGCCATAGCAAATGAAGAAAAAACCACAGGCGAGACAATCGCCTTCTGGTGGTAAAATGTTGGCTCACTGGTGCCTTTGCATGCACAATTCCGGGGAAGTGGTGCCACAGCCCCCCCCTCCCCCTTCTGTGACTCCTATGATAAGAATAGCACTTCGTAGAAATATTTGCCAGGTGATTGGAGTTTCTTGAATTCAGAATTCCTTTGGAATATATTTAAGAGAGATATTTACATTTAGATCAGTCTTTTATAATTACATTTTAAATTATAATAAAATAATTAGGCTGTAGCTGAGATTTTTCCCATACGTTTTTATGATAACCAAAGTGATTCTAAATTGTAAGTGTGTAGGGGCTCACCTCCAGATGTGGATTAGAGTGCACACTGCATGGCACGCACGTGACCAGCATTTGAGAGCAGTGGGGAAGACACAGAGGAATTAGGATTGTTTGGAGATCAACTGTTTCCCTTAATTTAACTGACGGAGGCCTTGCCAAGAAGAACCCAGTCTGCCTTGTAATTGTTCGAGTTCTGAGACGGTATTTGTATCAGAAAGCCTATGGAACCGACCTTTTCCCGTTGTTCTCATGGGACTTTTCGGAGGGGAAGTCTTCCTTTGCAGAAAGTATGGGGAGCGGTGGAAAGTCTGCCTCTTAGAAAGAGTCCAGGCTGAGGCCTGGTGTTGTTGCTGCAGGACCCTGGGGTGCTCCCATGGTTGTGCTGCACGTCTTGTAGGGGTTGCCATTTTCACCTCAGGAGAACAAGGGGATTGTATTCCAAGTCCTCTCAGGCCCCTCCCCCACAGCTTTGCCATCCTCTAACTAACCTAAGGGCCGCACCCCTCCCCCACTTCTGCCATCTTCTGTTTAAGGCCTCTTCCAGCTCTGCCAACCTTGGAGTCTATGATGGGCATTCCAGAAGAAACCTTATAGCTCAGGCACTTTAGCTGGGGATGAGGGACCATGCTTCCCATGATGAGGGTGGGGCCTGGGGAGAATCTCTGTGGATAGGATGACTCTTTTCTTTGTGCCCATCTCCAGCCGCCTCAGACCCTTCAGAGATGCTGAAAACTAAAATGTCCAGAGGCTGCAAGCGCTGTTCTTGGGGCTCTCTTCGGCCTGTGGCACACACCCCTGTCTGGGGGCCACGAGTGCTGTGCTTAGGGGCTCCCCTCGGCCGTGGCATGCACTCTGTCCAGAGGCTGTGAGTGCTGTGTTCAGGGGCTCCCCTCAGCTGTAGCACACACTCTGGCAGGGGGCTGTGGCACTGTGTTCAGGGGCTCCCTTTGGCCGTGGCACACACACCCCTGTCCAAAGGCTGTGAGCCCTGTGCTTAGGGGCTCCCCTCAGCCAGTGGCACACACCCCTATCTGGGGCCACGAGTGCTGTGCTTAGGGGCTCCCCTCGGCTGTGGCATGCACTCTGTCCAGAGGCTGTGAGTGCTGTGTTCAGGGGCTCCCCTCAGCCATTACACACACTCTGGCAGGGGGCTGTGGCACTGTGCTCTGGGGCTCCCCTCGGCCATGGCACATACTCCTGTCTGGGGGTCATGAGTGCTGTGTTCAGGGGCTCCCCTTGGCTGTGGCACACACTCTGGCAGGGGGATGCGGCATTGTGTTCAGGAGCTCCCCTCGGCCCTGGCACACACTGTCCAAAGGCCGTGAGTGCTGTGCTCAGGGGCTCCCCTAGGCCGTGGCACACAGTCTGACAAGGGGCTGAGCGCTGTGTTCAGGGGCTCCCCTCGGCCGTGGCACACACTCTGGCAGGGGGTGTGAGCACTGTGCTCAGGGGCTCCCCTTGGCCGTGGCACATACTCTGGCAGGGGGATGTGGTATTGTGTTCAGGAGCTCCCCCCGGCCAGTGGCACACACCCCTGTCTG